ATAATTGCTAAGATATTTAAGCTTAAAGTCAAGAAAACTTTTACTTAGAAAAAATTTGTCCCTTTTCTATTAACTTCCTCTCATATAATGAATTTTAGATATTTCTAAATACAAATATTAATTTTTGCTATATAATATAGTATTGTATTGATATAAACAAACATATAGTTATATTCTACTAAGTTTATCTAAATTTGATAGATGTAAATAATGCCGATCTTTTGGTAAAGATAAGCTATTTTGTCTACTTTTTGTTAAAAATTTTTGTAAATTTGGTGAAAAAGCAAGAAAGAGAAAAAATACTTGTACTATTTTAAAAAGTATAAATTTTTTTTTACTAAAAGTAACAGCAATCTATAGCTTTTATTAGGACTTTTATTAGAGCAAACATATAAATACTTGATTTTTGATAAGTGATAAACTCTAAATTTATCAATAAATAGTATATGAGAACTATTTCTAAATAACAAATGCCATATATAAAAATTATCTCTAAATAATAGTTGTAACTTATAATAACACTACTATATACACTTGTGTTTTTTAATAATAGATTTTTTTGAAATTTTTTGGTGTAAGTGATTATCAGAAAGAGTTTGAAATTAACTATAATATTTTATTTTAATTTGTTATAAAAACTAATTAATTAATTTTATAATATAGTTTATATAAAATTAATATTTAAAGAAATATAAATTTTTATTTAAATATTTTAGTATTTAAAAAAAGGTTTATTTTTTATTGCACCTGCAATATATTGCACCCCTACTATATTTTAAAATTTTACTAGAATAACACCTGTTGTGTAACTAACAAAAAATGATCCTTTTATAATTTTATTTAACCCCAACTTTAACACTAACCTTAACTCTAATTATTGTAGGGAGTGCACCTTTACTCTAATTATTATAGGGGTGCAATGTATTGCACCGTGCAATAAATTATAAAATCCTTAAAAAAAATAAATTAAAGATTAAACTAAAACTAAACTGTATACTGTAGTTACATATTTAAAAAAGATACATAATAAAAATTATTTTTTTTAAAAAAAAATTAAATTTATATATTAAAAAATAAACAATTATATATATAAAGAGAAAAAAAAAATTATACTGTACGTATAATAAATAACACATCTTTAAAAAGATTTTATATAGTATAAAAATTATTTATATGTATATAATTATATATATATAAACTTAAATATATAATTATATATATTACCGTATATTGTATATTAAAATTAGCAAAAAAATATTTTTACGAAACAAAATTTAAGTAAATTTTTTTTTTAAAATAAAATACAGTATAAACTTTTGATATTTTACATAATTGATTTATAAGATACACCAAATGCACCATATACAAATATTTAATAAATTGGAATATTTTTAAATTTTTAAATACGTATCAAAATTAATTGTTTAGATTTTTAATGTTTAAAATTTAATCAACTAGATTACAATAAATTTTAAATAAAGAAATATAATAAACCAATTTCAAGCATGAAAAAAATTATGCGACGTACGTACGTACAGTATATGACTAATCTTTAAGCACAATCTGTGATAGAATTAATCGTAGGCTAAGTACCACGTGAAATTTTTAAATAGTTTTCCCACTTACCCGGTATAGATAAACTTTTTTTAACCTTCAAAAATGCACGCACTTACCACATTTTGAAAAGATGGTTAAAATTTGAGAACTTTAGAAGAATTAAGTCAGGTAAAAAAACTTCAGATATAAAAAAAATAAAGTTTTATTTTTTAAGAAAAAAGTATATACGTAAAAAAAATACAAATATAGAAACGATAAATTTATTATAAAAAAAAACTATAAAACCATATAAAAGATTATTGAATACAAGATTGGTAAATAGGTCACAAGATGAAAATACTATGACTTAATAAATTCTCAATTTAGGCAAATTTGACAATTTTTTTAACAGGTTAACTGCAGAAAATTCAATTTGAAGTTAACGAGAAAACAATGAAAAAATTCATAAACCATTTTAAACATGAAACGCTTTAACATATTTATATGATCCAAAGATATTTTTTTGGACTAATGACATGTGCATTTTTTATGTTTCATGAATTTCTTTCTCTCGTGTGCACATACTGTAATGTCACTTTATCAAGCATTATTGACATTATAGGCATTATAGATATTATAATAAGATTTTATAATTTTACGTACGTAAGTAAATCATTTATTTTAATAATTGTATTCAAGATATTTTCAAGAAGATATTCAAATGGTTGAGTAAAAATTTCACTAGAATTTTCTCTAAAACGTATACGTAACAATGAGAGTTACAGATAAATAACGAACAAAAACCGGATAATGATTTTTAAATAAAAGTAACACGAATTTCACGAATCTATATCTTTTTTGGAAATTCCAATATTTTTTTTTGTATATTCATAAAGTAACAAAGTAGTACAAGATGTCACGTTAGTAAATTAATAGGCTCATAATTCTTAGCCCACGGCTTACGTGTTATATGAAACGAAGAGTACGTATGGGAGATTTTGGTAAAACCTAACTCAAATTCGGACAACTCGGATAACTCCTTTCAAATTCGCAACCATTGCACAACAATGAAAAGATGTACAGCAGCTTTGTATATATATATAAAAAAAAAAATAGGGATTATAAAAAAAGACAGATCATTTCTATTCTCATACTATTCCCATTATATCCTCTAAGGTACACTTCACTTTAATAATGAAATACTTTCTGCAAGAATAAACTAAGTTATAGGTGAGGAAATGATAATAATTTGATAAAAAAAAACATCAAAAAAAAATCTGCATCACATTAATCTTTGCAGATGTTGATAAAAAAAAAAATTGTGTATATATAGACCGCCTTTTGTATTAAGTCGTCACGTTAAACAAAAACACATTCCTCCTTGGTACAGATAAAAACAAAAGTAAATCATAACACGAATAATTACTACATTTATTCAATTTCCTAAATATATTTAAAAAATATTTAAATACCCTCATAATTAGAAGAGATAACCATCTTAACTGCCGCCGCACTCAAGCGACGAGACAGTAAAAAAAAAAACTGTCAAATATTAAAATTCTTTTTTTTTTTTTTTTTTTTTTCATAACTTTAAAAAACCAATTCAATACCCACACATATATATATATATATATATATTATTATTATATACACATAAAATATACACATAAAATATACACATAAAATATGGCTCCACAGTTACACTTTACTATCGTTAGACATGGGGAAACTAACTCCAACCTGAATCATATTATACAAGGACATATAGGTTCGTAGATTTTTTAGTTATATTTGAATATTTATTATTGATGAGATATGAAATATTGACATTTCATTTATCTTTTTTTTTTTTTACATTGATTTAGATACAAAATTAAATAAAACAGGAAGAGACCAGGCAGAGTTAGTTGGAAAACGGTTACGTAAATTAAAATTTGATCATATCTACTCTAGTGATTTATCCCGGGCAAAGAAGGTAAGAGAAAATATATATTTTTAAATAATTATCTTGTTATTTAAAGTAAATATTTTAACTCATTTTTAAACCTTTTTTATCATTTTTTTTCTAGACGGCAGAAGCCATCGCCAAACATCATCCGGACACACCATTCACTGTAGATATTCGACTTAGAGAAAGGGTAAATATTTTCACTTAAATATGTTAATCATTAACATTTATTGAAATAAAATAATAATTATATGATATACATATTATTAGGATTTGGGGAGATTAAGTGGAAAATCTATCCAAGTAGCTTTAGATTTAATTAAAGAGGAAGGAGCTACATGGGATGATTATGGTGAACCAGAAGAAGATTTTAAGGCCCAGGTGGTCGATTTCTTCAATGATATGATTGCAAAACATTTACCAAAAAATGATTTTCAACAATCATCTGGTTCATCAAAACAACGTAATCCTCATATTTTAATAGTTACTCATGGTGGTGTTATAAACAAACTTGTCAAAGAACATGTTATCATGGATTTAGGTTTCTTTGTTAATGATTATTTAAGTATGAAACATAAGGCTAAAAATACTAGCGTCACAAAATTTGTTGTAAGGAGAGCTGAAAACTCTATTTCAATTACGGATGATGATGACGCAACTAGTGTTATTAGTAGTAATACTACTGAAAATGAAAGTAATGATGGTGATTCTGAGAAGATTATTCGCCGTGATATTGAACGAAAGATTCGACTAAAAGGAGAAGTTACTCTATGGAGTTGTGTATCACATTTAACTTCTCAAGGCAAAAGAACACACGGTGATTCACAAATTGATGACTTCGTACATTAATTAGGTCTTTCATGTAATGTATTAAAATGTATAACTCATAAATATTTAAGCAGAATTTATACAATATAAGTGTATATGCTTTTCATAAATACGATTTGCATAAACTGAATTTTTTTTTTTAAAATTAACCGCGGGTGATTTGTTCAATAATACTAAATTAATCATGGTGATCATATAGTCTTTCATTTTTGTACTATTTCAATCTGTAGATAACACAATTGTTTTATTTCGCATAAATTGTGCTTTCATTTACGTTAATCTAAAAAAGAACTTGTCTATCGTTATGTTATCATTTGTAGTTCATTTTGCTATCAAATTAATTAGTGAAAAATAGCTTATAATTTAGATTTTGTCGATTATATCTTGCACTTCTTTTTTTAATATTAATAGAAAAAAAAAAAAAATCTTTTAGTGAGGTTAGAAGGTTAGAAATAGAGTTTTTTTTTTAATAAAATTCAAAAACAGTATTAGAAAAAGGAGAACGGGTTATGTTTCTTTTCTAAATCCTTCCTTTTCGTTTTTTTATTAGTCACAAATAGAAATAACAAATAGAAATAAATACTGAATAGTAAATAAACATTATTTTATTGGTACTTTAATTTATATTGATCGTTGTTATTTTTCCTGCAACTAAATCAAATGCATCTTTATGGTTGTTTATAACAAAGGAAAAAAGGATGAATGACGGGAGCGAATAAATAATGGCGCATTAGAAAAAAAGGTTTTAATTTAAACTTGTAAGTAATAAAATGTAACAAATTAATTTAAACTTAAATACGTATCTGATTCTGGCATT